CTCTCGAGTTTAGGCTGGACGTCTTGGGCCTCCCGCTGTTGTCATCGGTGACAAGCTGTGTGACCCTGGGACACGTCTTCCCAATGCCCCAGCAGCAGGCATGGTCCTCCCCTAGCGGGTCACCCAAAAGGGCAGGCACCTACTGAAAGCAGAGGTGCTGGGCGCCGCCTCGTGCGTGTGGCAGAGACCCAGTGACTCTCCAGAAGGTTTCCAGCTTGGCAGGTGGGCCAGTAGCCAAACTGTGCCCCCCTCCAGCCACCGTCCCCTCTCCCCACCCCACCCCAGCCAGAGTCCACCCCGAGCCATGAGCGGCTGCTTCAGGGACCTCCGTGGGCTGATCCTGGAGAAACACGGGGCTGAGCTGTGCGATAGGTACATACTTGGAAATAAATTGGTTCCCAGCTGAGAAGACGCCTTGTGCTGCCTTCGTCCCTCGGTTGTGGATCATTTCCCGTGACACTCGGGGGGCACCGTGCTCCGCTGCCCCAGCTGAAGACCCCGCGCCCTGTACTGGTGCGGCAGGAGGGCTCACGGCTTTTCCCTGAGGTGTCGGGGGCTGGCACACGCTCTCCAGCAGGATACAGCAACACCGAGCGATGTAAATCCTACCTCTTTCACCATGATTTCCAGGCAGACTGAGGCTTGGGTCTAGCTCAAAGCCTGTGCCTAACTGAGCTGAAACGTTATCTGGAACACCAGTGGAGAGAGCGATCAATGATGCCGAGACGGCTCCCGTGCCCCGGAGCGCCAGGAAACAGGGGCCTAACAACAATTTGAGATATATTTAATTGATCTGTCTGCACATGCACATACCTGGCTGTACACAAACATTTCCGTGCTGAGAACTCAAGCGCTCAGAGGGTACATTTCCACCGGCGCCGGGGGGTGGCTGCTGACAGCGCCGCTGTTCAAGCCTGGCACCAGGAGCTCGATCCAGAGCACGGCTACCCTGGAACCCGAAAGGCTGGGTGGCAGCGCTGCCTGGAGAGGCTCCGGCTCTGCGTGCACGAAGGCATTCAGTCAGCTTTCCGCTTCCACCTACAATATAGGAAATAACATGGAAAACTAACTCTGAAACTGCAGCCCAGACTGGGAGACTGGGCCCAATCTCGTGGGAAATCTCTCTCACGGGTCAGATACATCTCAGCGCACGGTGAGGACCATTCCCTCGTAATACAGAAAAATGTTTTTCGGGACGGGTCCTAAAAATCAGGACATTCTCATCTCTTGGGAGAGGGCTGTGGTGAGCACAGGCGCTTTCTCGCTGGCTGCCACAGGACCGCCCCAACGGCTGTGCAGCACGCCCAGCGCTAAGACCACCACCTTTGGTGCCTGCTTTCATAGAATCATAGAATGTTTTGGGTTGGAAGGGACCCCTAGAGGTCATCTAGTCCAACCCCCCTGCAGGGAGCGAGGTGCAGAATGCCAATTAACTTTGCAGGGTGCAAAGAGGCACCCTGACCATCAGCCAGTTCAGCTCAAGCCCGTACGACTGCGTGCGTTTCAGTACATCGCTGCGTCCACACGTGTCCCGTTACCACAGGAGAACAGCGCTGTATTTACCTGTAAACTTGTGTCCCACCTTGGCGAGACAGTTCAAGCTCTGAGCTCTGCTGACGGGGAACTGCTTTGGGTGTGAAGGTCCCACCCTCGGGGCCAGAGACACGGAGAGATGAAAAAGCTCTTCATTTTTCAAATCATTCACGCTTATTCCTTCCTTCAGCACAATAATGGAGGGGTTGGACCTCTAGACTTTGGATGGGGGGGAGGGCAGAAACCCAGCCTAGGCTCCAGGCTGCCCAGATGAACACAGACCGAGAGAAACTCTAAACTAATCAAGCACTGATTTCTGCTCCTGGGAAGACAAATTGCGACGCTAAAGCAGAGCTCAGAGAAAGAGGCGATCCACCGGACACACTCCAGCTTCTGCGTTCACCTGAACACGCTTCCGCTGATGGCATCAGGATAGCTTGAACAAAAGCCCAACTTTGGGCCCATTTGAGTGCCTAAATCTCAGTCTGCCCCAGAAGCACGGTATAATTAAAGGGCTAATTTCACACGGATTTAGTTACAGTGCTGTCTCGCGCGGCTGCTCTCGAGCACGGCCCACTGAACTTGAAGAACAATTCCCACTGGCGCGGCCAAAACACTAAGAGATGCTGCGCTGAAGGTGGCATCCGAGGACCCCTTCACTGGTTTCCCACTCCCTCAGGGCAACCGGTGCTGCTCTTTGTGGAGGCGAGCCCTTGATTAAGTAAAGGATATGTTCAGGATAAATAATAGATTGAAGCCAGATTTAAAATCAATTTAAGTGTGTTCCCAGAGCAGCTTTTCATCCCATTTTATTAAGCCAGAAAAGAATCCGTTTGGAGAGAATAAAATGCAGGGCAATGAAGCACGCGATGCTCATTGGAGCGCGGCTTTTGGCACTGCAGTGCACCAGGGCCAGTCCTAATGCAATTATGGAAATAACCGCGCTCCGCGTTACTGTGGTTCTCATCACGGATAAACTGCTCATGCTTTGGGAGTCACAAGACTGGCAACCCGAGTTTAATTTTCAAGTTTAATGAACATTATTTACCGACTCCTGAATTTACGCTTACAAGCGCTTTTCCAGCAGCCGGAGATCAGCCCCTGGCCTGCGTGCTCTCCAAAGTTTGTATTTCCAGGTGCCTCCTGGTCCTGGTACTGAAGGATCAGAAGTCGTTATCGCTTTCCTCCAGTGGCTCTGGCTTCCTTGCTCGGTGACTGGATTTGCTTGGGGAGATTTCCATGCTGTCGTCTTCCATATCATCCTCCTCTTCATCTTCATCCAGGTCGATCTCGCTATCCCCCGACTCCTCCTGCAGGAAAGCAAACAGAACTCACGACCAATTCAGGTCTCAGATGGCAAGGCAGCTTTGCTAGCTCAAAAGTGAAGGGTAGCACTGCTGGCTGAGGTGAAGCCGCTTCTCTGTGCCATCTGCCTGGGCTGTGGGGAAGGCTGTTGGTCCGGACTGGTACGGATCCAGATTTGCACTTGCTCTGGGGAGCAGCAGCAGATTCTGCAAGAGGTTTTGTTCCAGCTCAGGCTGCTGTGCTGCTGGCCTTCCGAAATAATGAAAAGCCAGAGCTCGGCTGCCTCTGGGAGCGAACGGCCCACCTGGCTTTCACCAGCAGCTGCTCCCTTCCATTTGTTGCAAACCTCCTTTCCTGCATCACGGGGCTGAGGAAAATGAAATCCCTGACTTCTGGTGAATCTGTGGTATTAAAAACCCTGCAGAGCATTTAACTTTAAAGCGATACCTATTGCAAGACCAAAGAATCAAGGCGCAGTGGAAGAATATTAACCGCAGGAGAGGAACCCACCTGTGCCTGGGCGATGGTCGTGCCTGGCTGGGCTGGGGCAGATCTCCCCTTGGAGAACCAGAGCAGAAAGAACAGGAGAGGCAGAGCAGGGGAAAAAAAATAATAAATACAAGAACATAAAAGAAAACAGAAAGTAACCAGAAAGGGAGCAGGGGAGAAGGCGACAAAGCTCAGGCATCATGTGCCGCACCAGCAAGTGGCAGAGGCTGGGCACAGAGCTGCTGGCTCTTGGGGCAGGCTGAAGCCTGCTCTCTTCTCAACTCCAGAACCCGATTCACTCTTTGAGGAGTTCAAACCAGCCTCACCAGCATCCTTCCCTGATCTCAGACACACAGGCACCTGGGACGCAAGGGTCCCTGAGCAAGCCTCTCAGCCCTGGTGCCTGCTGAGATGGTGTGTTAAGGGGGCAGAGCCCTGAGACAACCAAAGCAGCTGCAGCTGAGGATGGTAAGAGGCTGAAGGCCTTGGCTTTCCACACCTGGATGTGCTGGGGCTGTGCCAGCAGGGAGACATGGGAGAAAGCTGCGAATGGGAAAGTCCGAAGGAAGGAGAAGTTGCAGAGCGTGACCATCCAAAGCTGGCAAGATTACGGTCAAGGACAACCGGGCAGCGCTGTGACTAAGGCCACACCACCTTCAGCTACAGCATGGGCACTCCTGACCCTGCCCAGCGATGTTTCTGAAAGCCAATGCCATAAATCATTCCCCAGAAGGCAACAAACAGCCCTAACCGCATCCAGTCTGGCTGAAGCAAACAGCGGAGCATGGCTTATGGGATCCTCTCCAGAGAGAAGGTGAGGATGAGCAGAAAGAAGGGCAGCTCACCCCTCTCCAGCAAGAGACTTAACCCCCTGATCACTAACAGTGCCTCCAGGTCTCTGCAATGAACACTGAATAGCGGTAGCTTCTTCTCTCTTCTGGCCCTGCCTGCTGGAGAAACACTGCCCAGAGCTTTGCATGGCCAACCTGGCAGCGTCTGACAGCCATGGCAAATGGCATTCAGTATGTGGTGGTGAACATCAGGAATTTCCCACTATCCTTATGCCCTGCAGAGGTGGATTCCCCCCCGTTTTAAACCTTCTCCTGGGGACCCTGGAGTTGTGCTAGCTCCGTTAGCCTCTGCTTCCTGACCCAGCCCTCTGCTCCCCTGGTGCCGCCTGGGCTTTTGTGAAGGGATTTCTGAAAAGCAAATTCTTTGTTGCAGAGAGGCTTAATTTCTATGCCACGAAGGCAGCGAAAGGCAGGGCCATCCTGAGAGAGGGGGATAATTCCCCCGGCAGCACAGGGCTTCCCCCTGGGTGCAGAGAAGCCACCCAGACTCCTGGCGTGCCTCCCCCAGTAGCCAGGCAGCACGGGGTGGGGGTCTGCTGGGCAGTGAGGCAGAGAGGCTACAGCTATGCTAGGAAATGAACAGCCAGCACAGGTTCAAACACAAATTCCCAGTCCTCCTAGTTTTTAAGCATTTGTACCATTTCCTAGCACAGTTTTGGCCTGTGTGCCAAGTACACACTCCAAAACAATATTCCAGCATCACCTGGGGAACAGGATGGCCCCGCTGCTCCGGGCTGGCAGCTTGGACGCCAGCACCTTTTTGGGATGGTGGGGAGAGCTTATTGTATGGATGCAAGCCATACCACAGCAGCTGGCTTCAGCTCCTTAGTACAGACGTAGCCACTTAAGAGCGCCCAGAGGCACGGGAAGATTGCCCACGTGTGCCAAAGGCGGAGCACCGCAGTTGGAATACGTGCCTGCTGTGCAGCCCTGTGTGTACCCACTGCCGCTCACCAGGTCGACCGTAACCAGATGCAAAGCCAGGAGCGGTGGGACAGCTCTACCTGCAAGGCAGGAATCCCGAGGGGCACAGCTCACAGTTCTGCTCACAGCCCTGTCCTGTCATCCAGAGGACGGGAGGACCGATGCTGTCAGTACAGGCCAAGGAGCGGGGTTTTAGAGCAAGGTAGGGGATTTAGATGCACGCTTCTATCTACTACTACACTGCATCGATCCCCTCTCCCCAGAACAGCGTCCCCGCAGCCCGTGTGCCACCAGTTATGCACTGCAGGCTGAGGCTGAAGCCCAGGGCAGAGCACAGAGACTCCAGGAGCAAAAGAAAAATAGAAGAATATGTGTCTGTGCAGATGAGAGTGGAGTCGGCTGGAGGAAAGGAGGGGAAAAGCAGGCCTGGGACATAAAGATTCAGCAGGTAAAAAGGTGTTTCTCTAGCTGAGGAGAGGGCTGTCATTCTAAAGCACCATCAGGGAAGCTCTCCAGGCACACGGGATGGTTACTTACATCTTCCTCCGTGTCTCCACCTTGCATCGTTCCCACGATCCGTGCACCAGCTCTTCCTGCAAGAGCAAAGAGAATCGCCGTAAAGCCTGGCTCATGGTTCACACCGAGGGAGAATGAAAGATAAAGTGCAGAGTTTACATCTTAGAGGGCTAGTCCAATGGCAGTGAGAGGATGAGATCCCAAAGAGAACCCAATGAGATCCCAATCCCCCCCTTGTTAAGCCTCAGAGCTTCTCCTCTCACAAGGAGAAGGTAAAAGAGGGTAAGGCTGACACTAATTCATAGAATCATAGAGTTATTTCAGTTGGAAAAGACCTTTAAGATCAAGTCCAACCATTAACCTAACCCTGCCGCTCCAATTCCCATCAGGATGGTATTTCCAGAGCTACCTTATGCTGGTACAAGAGTTCTGACAGGACAGGAGGCAACGGACACATTAAGAAACAGGAAATTCTATCTGGAACCACTTTTTTTTTTTACTGTAAGGGTGGTCAAACACTGGAACAAGGTTGCCAGGAGAAGCTGTGGAGTCTTCTTCCATGGAGATACCCAAAACCCAACTCGACGTGTTGCTGGGACAACCTGCTCAGCCCCCCTGTTTGAGTAGAGGGGTTGGGCTCAATGATCTCGACATGTCCCTTCCAACCTCACAACTCTATGAACTGGCATATTCCTTCCTCTGCTTTGGTACCTAGAGAACGCTAGCCCGTCCTTTCCATGCGGTGAGCCTTCGGTCCTTCAGAAACTCGTTATGCTCAGATCCTTTCCGATATTCCAGCAGGGACTGACATCTCACAGGAATCTTAGGCAGTGCCAAGGGAAACACCAAAAATTTTTGGCAAGAGATGAATACGTAAGTCTGAGGAGGGAGGTGGAGATCTCAGGGTTGTAGGGAGTTCACTGAAAAGGGAGAATGCATTCGTGCCTTGCTTTGGTACTCTTGGCTGCGTAGAGGCCATACGAAGCGGGGAAGATGCTAGCATGGTCTCCTTTGCGAGGAAGGGAGCCCAGAAGGTGTCGGGAAGGGGTACAGCAGCGCGGTGACTGGGGAAATCCTGCGCGTGGGACTCAGCCCCGCTTCCCGCAGCCACCAGCAGTCGCTCCGCACTAACCGGGTGCCTACTGAACAGCCCTGCTGCGACCGTCCTGCTTTGCCGTCTGTTTATCTCCTCTCATCCCGAGCTTTCTCTATGTCAAATATGGATTTATTTTTTTCCAATCTAGACAAAATCTGTTTTTTTTTTTTAAGCATGAAAACAAAGCAACTTTAAATATATCCTGTCAAACCTCTTTCGTACCGCCCAAAGTCCAAAAGACGGCAGGGCCCTTTTGCCCCCTTTGCAGACCGATTTGGGTTAGTTATAGCGAAAAGCTGGCTAACTCGACCAGAACCCACTAAAAACCCCTTCTTGTGTCACAGCAGATAATTTAAAGTATCCGACATCTTTAAATAAAAAGCGGTGCCCTCTACCCGTCTGGTTGCTGATAGCACAGGCAGCAGAGATGGAATTATAAGATCATCCGTGGACAGAGGATGTCTCTTCAAGCCTTAGAGGCTTTTGCTCTACCATACGCTAGACTAAACTCTGTAAATTCAGAGATGATTACAACTGATGTCATTAGATGACCACAGAACCACATTTTTGCCCAGCCCACAGATAGCTGCAAGAATTTAACTGCAATTTTGCTACACAGAAGGCTCAGCATAAGGTGTTAGATAGGGAATTACTACTGCAAAGGAGAAAGCAGCAGGGAGCTCCTAAAATCTACTGATAAGACAAAGCTGAGAGAGATCCTGAATGTAAAAGAGAATCAGGCTATCACCTAAGGAGAGCTGATGAAGTAGGGCGGTTCAAAAATGCCAAGGGAAGAGCTTAGGGAACACTAATGGAAGGTCTGCAGGATGCTGGATGCCGCTCCTCCATCAGTGGGAATGGTAAGGACATCTTACGGGCATTTCACTGCTTAGATGGGGAGGAAGATGAGAATCCCGTTCTGCCCAGGCTTTGATCCCTACCTCATTTAAGCCAGGAGCACCTCTGTGAACTAGCGCCTGTGGGATCAGCAGGATTAGGTCCTGTAGCACAACCCTGGGATGCTCACAGGAGACACCCCAGGATGCAGGGGCCCGGGGCTTCAGGCTGTGCACTCTGCTGAGACTGAAGAGCAGAGAAAGCAGATTTTCCACCTCGGTAGAAGAGCTTCCATGACAAAGGCGGGAGCGTTATTTTAATTTTCAGGTCGTAAACCCCCAGGTTTCTATGTGTGGGAGCAAGAGGAGTGATAGACAGCCGTGATGCATTTCCGTGCATGCTGGGGGGAGGCAGGAAACCATCGCTGTCTGAGCAGGATGGGGGGAGCCAGCTGGTCGGGGGGTGTTTGTCACTTGAAATTTCCTGGGTCCGATTTTAGCTGGGCTCAGCTTGCTGCAGCATTAGTGCTGCACCACTCTGGCCACAGAGGCTCACGCCACTCCTAAGCAGTCGAGAGCCCGTTATGTTTACTTACAGATAATGTGAATTCAGGCTGTATGAAGTGCTAATTAGCTAAAATGTTAGTAATGAACAGGCTCTAATTCACCGCACCTTTGAATTCAAATCTCATCTCCGTGCGTCGCCAGGGTTTATAGCCGTGGAGCTATCAAAGAGCAGAAGTGAACGTGCATCCAGGATTTTACGCCTGCGAGCGTTTGCTGGTTTTGCCCTGCGTGTGGTGCTTGCCATCGCACTAACCCGTGCAGCCGCCCACAATGGATCCACAGGAGCAGAACGATTTACATCTTCTTACCCAGCAGCGGGTAGAGGTTAATCCTGCGCCTGAGAGCACGCAGCGGCACTTAACCCGAGAGGTGAGGACAACCTGCCACGAGGGGAAGGCAGATTTGCAGCTGGAAACATTTTGCTCCCAAAGTGGAGATCTGGGTTCAGTCTCCAGCTCTTACTGCAAATTCGCGGCGTGACCTTGGATGAGGCACCTCCCTTCCCTCCGCATCATCTCCACACACGGAAAATCGGGATAAATCTTTTGCCTGATGCCCTTTTTGCCTTGTGCACGGGGTTAAACGTGGGTGTAGCCCTTAGCACAAGGCCCTGACCTCAGGAGCCTTTTCTAGGCATTGCCAAAGCACAGTGATTAATTCAGCACGCTACAGCCGCTGCCCAGGATGAGCGCATTTCTATTTATTTCTTACACCCTCCACAAAAAGGAAATTTGCTCAGAAGCGAGTCGCCTGTCTTGATCCCACCCTTTCAGACCTCCAGCCTCCCCTCCTTCTCCAGCACCGCAACGGCCGTAACACAGGCTGAAAGCGCACAGAAAAACCTCCTCCCTCCCGGGGAGCACCGAGCTTTGCCGACACGAAGCACACAGCCCAGGACAGCGCTGGCGGGAGCAGATGCCGAGATGGTGACAACTCTATTTCAAGTTAAGCCAAATTCATTTCTGTGAATTCCAAACCGCAGCCCCCTTTTCGGTGTTTCCAAATACACAGCTACGTCAGCCTGGTAATATTGGCCAGCAGCTGCTGTATCAGGAAATTATTACAGAGACTTTGCAGACAAAATTTTAGCTGGGGGTCAGGAGTCTGCAGAGATCTGCACAGAACTACAGGAAAATGAGAAGAGCGCCTGTATCCACTTTCCCCCTCTCCAGATTAGTTTCCCCAAGCACTGGCAGTCAGACCCGGTGGCTCACTCAGCATTGACTGGTTTTTCCCTTCCCACTTGACCTGAAGAGGCGAGGAAAAGACTAATCTGACTCTCCAAAATTCTTTTATAAGGTTTACAATCATACCTTGATTTGCTTTCCTAGAAAAGTGTATTCACTCCAGGAGCATGGGCACCAGGGTGCACTGTATGCCGCGTGCACAAAGCCCCCACCAGGATAAAACTGCACTTTGTCAAGTTTACAAGGGAGGGATTTATCTTTAAAAGCTCACGGAGCGCAATACCGGCTTGGCAGAGTCCTCTGAGAGCAGGTGCATTTGTGAATTTTCTCCCCTTGATTTCAGATGTTATCAAGCAGCTGGAGAACTTGAATCCTGCTAACGCACAGCCCAGAGCCTGCCACTCATCTCCTCCCTTCCACCGACTTTGATTCAAGGCAAACGCATGCAACAAGATGCCTGCAAACACCAGGGCTCACAAGAACCATCTGGGAGAGAGCAGCCTGCCCAGGTTAGGGAAGATTTTTGTTTCTGTTGCTCTGTGCTTCTTGGTAACTGCCAAGAAATCAGGCAGGGATTTTCAGAGGAGCTCTGGGTTTGCAAACGCTCATCACAAATCCTACACGGAAAGGAACGGTAAGAAATGTTCAGTGCCCAGCAGAGCCTGCATCGAGGCTGCTGCTCCTATCTGAGCCACCTCTGCCCGCTTGGTGCCACACCAGCCCTGCAGCTCTCCCTTCCGCACAGACCTCAGAATCTATTTTGGCCTCTGAAAGCGTGAGATGCAGAGTGCCTGCAAGGCCCACGGAGTACATAACTGCAGATTCCTCGTCTTTTTGAGATTCATGCTGGAACTTCTGGGACATCAGGAGGACACTTGGCAGTTTCTTGAGTCAGCGGCTGAAGTTTGTGCGTGCAGCAGCCTTGGCAAACCCTCCCTAGTGGCGCTTCAGTTATCAAGCATGGCATGACCAAACAAGACATTTTCTTCTGGTTTGGGTTTTTTTTTTTTTCTTTCTTCTCCAAAACCACACGCTCCAGGTACGCTGACCGCAGCAGTGGGGAGACCCTGATCACTGTTTCTTAAGGGTTTCTGAGCAGCCTGACTGGGGGGAATGACTTGGGAAGAGTAAAGAGGGAGACCTCATCCTGTGCTAAGCTGCGTGCCAGTAAGAGGGAGCCGTCCCTAGAGCTGGAGCTGAGAGATCAGGGATGGGATCACCCAGCATTTGAATGATGCTTAGCCAATTGCAGCGGGCGTCAGCACCTTTTTCTTATCCAGACTCATTTCCACAACAGAGAACACCACCAACATTTTGAGAAAGCCTGCAGATTTGTTATCATCTTGTATTGGTAAAGATAAATGCATGTGCATACGTTTCTTGGTCTTGGACTCAGAGATATAATTTCCTTTAGGAACCAGAGAGAAAGGAAGAAATAGAGTAGTTATTGAACATGTGTTTTTAAAAATCAGGCAGGCAACAGCCGCAGGAACTCCATGTGAACAAGATGCCCAACACAGGGCAGGCAGCTGTTGCACGTTCCTAATCGAATCCTCCGCTCCGCTGGGTATTGATAGCACACCTGTGGTTTCTACACACCTGGGGAGGTTAGAGGGAAGGAAAACATCCTAGAAATTCAGTAGCAGGAATCTGAATGTGGCCACAAGCTGGAGAGAGGATTGCCACAAGCGGAGTCGGACCATTTCCACCGAGAACAGGACTTCCCTACTTTTCAGCTTGCCTGCTGTATGGAGGGGTTTGGAAACAGGACTGTGTAGGCTCACCTGACATTTCTCCCTACTATGCCAAAGCTCCCATTCTCCCTACAGGACTGAAAAAATGAGGGCTAATTCAGCCTCCACAGCCTTCCCCCCAGCATGCAGGGTACCTTTGGCCCTTTCCCAGTGTCTGCTTGCCAGCTCCTGCTTAATAATCACACCCTCCAGTTTAAGAAGAAAACGAAGACAGGGAGGCTAAATATCATCATCTCAAAGCCCCAACGGCATCATCAGCACGCTTTGGATACGTGCAGGTTTGCGTGCACTGCCTCTGTGCAGGACCGGGGATTCCCGCAGCTTGGCTACGGCACGGGAATGGCTAGCATGGGCAAGCCAGCCCACGTCCACTGAGACACGCGACCGCGCTCTCCGTCTGCCCCTGAACTCGCCTCCACTTTGGTTGTCGCCTACTCGGTTCCCCTTCCTTCAACGAGGTAGGCTTTGCTGTCTTAATAAAACCCCTTCATTCTCATCTGCTGCATTCAGAGACTTATTTGCTCTCGCTACGTCAAACAGCCCAGGTTTTCACAGGCAAAGATTTTATCCTTTCGGCAGCAAGTACAGTCGCTAACCTGGCTGCCCGCACATGGTTCCCGCTTCGATCCCCTGGGTCAGTTTGGCAAAGGCAAGAGGCTCCAAGAGAGCTGCGCTCTCAAGGTTTAACTTTGGCCTGATTGTTTGCTAAAAAACATTCAGAGTTTTATAAAGCTGTCGTCTTACAATAAAGACCAAACGGGGCCGAAGCTCTTACTGTGTCGGTAGTGAAATAGTTTCTGTGGTCCAAACAGGACAAAAAAGTCCCTTAACACCATTACAGAAGGAAACGTATGAGCTAAAGCATTTGGATAATTGGTTTACAGGAGCTCAAAGATCCTGGCAGTGTGGAATAGAGGTGATTTACACTCTGCAAGCGTGGATCATTTCTGCTTCATTCAGTAGCATTTCCACTGCAAGCCCAGACTACCCAGTCAGCCAGCGCAACCGCTGAGGAGAGGTCCTGCATTTGCTCACGATTCCAAAACACATTTCAGACCTCTGGTCCAAATGAGACTGGAAAGATGGATCTGCACACATAATCACAACATAACTTCGAAATATGCCACTTCTGATAGCACGGATGAAAAAAATCCACTTTAGTTCCAGGGGAAACTGGAAAGGTTCTTAGGGGGGGAAAAAAAAAAAAAAAAAAAAAAATCTACTGAGGGTTACGCTAAATTTGTGGAAACCACATCCAGGCCAGGAAATCCTGATGGTGGTTAAAGCAGTTTGAGAGCAGGAGGGAACCTGAGGGAAGTTCCTATGCTCTCCCCTAGGCACTTTCTTTCCGCCAGTGCTGGAGACAGAAGACCGGGCTCGATGGACCTGGCCTAGCAGCTTCTACCTTCCTAGGGCAAGGCTCTGTGTTCTTCACCACGATGTCCACCCCATCCGCACGTGAACAACCACCCTGCTGCGAACGACTGGTTATGGCCTGTTGTGGGCAAGAGGTTTCTCTACATCGCAGATGGTCAAGACCTTCAGCATGGCAAGAATTTCTTTTTTCTTTGGTTCTCTGACAAAACAAGGGTCTCGTTCCAAACACCATTGCTAACTCACGGCTTGACCTCAGGGAAGCCCACGCATCTGTTTTATTGTGTAAGAGCCTCACTCACCTATTGCCAGACAGAATAAAAGGGGATGTGGATTTTTATTCACAATGACAACGTTCAAATTAAAGGTTACAGATGATAAATCAATGTATTCTCTTAGTTATAAAAGCAACTGATTAGTGAGACATGGATTTATTATAATAATTCCCATCAAGAAGGAGGCTTGCCTGTAATTGTGTATTTGTGGTAACAAATCAGGCTGTAGTTTCACAAATCCACTAAGCCAGCATCTGCCAGTTTGGCATTTATTTTCACCCCCACACCTGCTCCCTCCTTGTCCGGAAGCCTTCCCGGCTTTCCTAAAGCTGGATTTGCTATACTGCTGAATGAGAACCACCGACCTCGATAGAGGTAGAAGCTCCACAGTGCATTACAGCCTCCTTCTTAACCTGCTACTGCCTATCCCTCTTCCTACACGGGGAATAAGGGTTCGATTTTCTCTCTGTACCACAGGAGCTTGCAGCCTGTCATTCTGCCCCAGCTAACACTCTTTTCCACTCCATGGGAGACTAAATCCTATACCTTCAAGTCTTTTAATTGGCTAAAAGAATAAATCCAGGAGCAATAATGTCAAAGCTGCATTTAGTTTGAATTTTGCTGCATCTAGACAAACCCAAGGAAAGGACTCTTGAGGGTGAAAGTGTTGATTTTTCTCAATTATACCACGTGGCCTAATAAGAGAGATTATCTCTCCCTGAGAATCTTGCCTCTATAATGGCAAAACACACCATAATACCTCCCCACCTATTACAGACAGAGGGAGGAAGCCTTCCCTTAAAATCCTAATATCCTGGAAATTGGAGGTGTAAAACTGAATCTCAGCAGCTACAGGACCAGACCACAGGGGACTGTTTCTCCTTCGTTTGAGAGCAAATACGGCTCAGAAGCGCCACCGCGTAAGGAGACACAAAGCTTCAAAAGAAAGTGATTGAAATATCTCGAATGGAGTCAGAGAAAAAAAGCAGTAATTAATAATGCTCTCGTCGTGCTGCCTTAATGATTAAATACATTTTAAATGCAAACTGCTTGGGCTGAAGTACATGTACAGATCCTTGGCGTGTTGAACGATAAATGGCCAGTGAGTGCTCAAGACCTGATTTTCTAAAGAAGCTGATGAACCTGACATTAATCTCAAGTCTGGACATGTCTCCAGCACTTTGGTTGGTGAAGGTCAGGCAGTCAGACAGAACCTTGCTGCCGATGAGGGGCCTGGCCCAAAGGGGCCCACTCGCACGGACAGAGGTGCGGATCTGAGCCTGTTTTCGAGGCTAGAACTGCTCATCACCTAAGCACGTGCTCTGGGCTGGGCTGGAGCTCCCAAAGGAAAGCTTGTCTTGATACAGTCCAAGCTTTTGTTCGTATGTTCTGGACAGGTAAGAACGGGCAGGACTGAGTAAGCTCACTCTAACACCAGAAGCAGAGATATCCCAAGGTTGAGTTTTCCTAAACAAGAAGCGGCATTTTGACCCAGAGCCAGCGGTACGGACAGCGTGCTCGCTGTTAACCTCACAGCGTAGCTACAGCTAGAGCAACAGGGTGACTTGCCCAAGGTGAGGATGGGTAACCTTAGAAAAGTGAGCCAACAGTCCTTGCCTGAAGAGTCTAATAGCGTATCCTTCTGAATAAAGGCAACTAAGGAAAGGTTTTGATACCTCGCAGTAGCGTTTCCGTGGCGGTGCGCTGCTTCGTGATCTGCCTGTCTTCCACTTCACTGTCGGATCCTTCATCCTCTTGAATCTCTACATCGGAATCATCATTATCTGGTTAAAACAAAAGCAGATGATCAATATCACTCCAACCAGCCCACACCTCGGAACAGCAGTTGGATGCAAGAGACACCAGCAGTCTCTACCTTTGTTCAAGTCCAAGATTAATTAAAAATGCAGTCGCAGACAGAGCATTGACTCTATTGATGGGCACAGGGAAATCGCCAACAGCCGCACCCTTGGGAGGTCATTATCTGGTTAAAACAAAAGCAGATGATCAATATCACTCCAACCAGCCCACACCTCGGAACAGCAGTTGGATGCAAGAGACACCAGCAGTCTCTACCTTTGTTCAAGTCCAAGATTAATTAAAAATGCAGTTGCAGACAGAGCATTGACTCTATTGATGGGCACAGGGAAACCGCCAACAGCCGCACCCTTGGGAGGGCAGCCTTTGACACGAGTGCCGACGCAGCAAACAATATAACCAACTGTCTTGGAACAAGCCTCAGGTTGTACAGTAAAAGCGCTGTTCTAGATACACTCTCTGGGTATGAAGCACACCTACAGTCAGAAGGGGCTATTTCAGCAACTGATTTAAAGATAAAAATCTTTTAAAAGCATTTGGAAAGCATGGGCTTATCGATACATCTCCTAGTCTTTTCCCCTGACACCAGCAATATCGAACCCCATCCCCTTAGACTCTTTGCCTTTCACTTAATCCTAGGTTAGAAAAGCACGGTGAGACATCCCTGGATAAACGAAGGCAGTTACAGCCAACCCCAAGATGGCTGGAGAGACAGGAAAGCGTCCCAAGATGCAGGAACTTCTTCCAATATTTTCAGAATCTGCCTTTGTTTCCTTCTTCCTGTCCAAACTAAAGCCTTCTTAGTCCCTTACTACCGGTTCCCCAGTCACAAACTGGAACAAACCTAAAGGACTTACATTAAATTGGCTTTCAGATGTTTGAAAGGATTACAAGAGTCTTCAGATACTTAAAAGTACCTGCAAGGAAAAGGCAGACTGTTCTCCACGTCAGCTGGATGAGCCCTACCTTGAGGTTCACAGGCACGGCCAACCAAACAGATTCTCCTCTGAGCCTATTCTGAAGCAAAACAGCGGGCAGAAAGTTGGGCGCAGGAGTGCGTGGGAAGCTTGGAGCAGACTCTGCTCCATTTGAGTCTCCTTCTATCCCATGAGCTTTTCCCCCTCTCTCCTCACTCGTGCCAGCCTGCTTGTGCAAGCTCCTCGGCTCACTAAGACCAAGCTCTAGAAACCTTAGGTTGACTTCTCTCTCCAAACATTCAATCAATGAGCCTGATCCTCAGCTCCCATCAGCTTCTGAACTCGTGCGGAGATGAGCCCCTCCACGCCAGTTGATCCTACAGCTCCGAGCTGATGCCGTCTGGTGGCCTGCCCACAGGCGCTTACGGAATTAACAGTGCTACGACAAAGCCAACAGGACCCTGAGTGAGGTCAACAGCAACGAGAGCTGTTAATTATTTAGAAAAAATAAGTGATTCTTTCCCAGGTACATTTAATTACGCACATGTCTGAGCTGAAAATGGAAATAACTGCTTTAATTATGATTAGTAATGAGCTGACACATCCTTGCAATATTTAATTATCGGCCAATATACAAATATTAGACATTTTTCCATTATCTTTTTCATTGCAATATTAAGTCAACGACAAAATGTAACAGCAAGGGACGTGTCTGATACCCTGGTAAGATTATGAGACTCCAGCAACGTTAGCCACAGTTTCTATTTGTGTCGCACTTTCTTCTTTGGCAAGTGAAGGAATCGCTCGCTGCTGCGTGACCTGAACACTGTTTCTGTTTACCTGGTATTGAGGAGCGCGGGGTTTTGTTCAGCCCCGGCCCAGGCAAACTCCTTGGGAAGAGCCCTGTGGAGCCTAAATAAAGGATTCAGGTTTGTGCTCTGTATGTTAAAGAGCAAAACTCTCTCACCTGCGATGGCTCTCACTGCTGCTACTAAAGTGCCCTCCTTCTTATTTTGTGGTTTGTTTTTTTTTCTTCCTTCTGTCTTTTTTTCTTCTTGCTCCCCCCACCCCCGCAATTCCTCTCTTTCAGGTTTTGTCATTTGTGCTCCTGTTATGCAGCACCGCTGGCCAGAGCTGAGGATGCCGCAGGGCGCCCTTACGATTGCTTTGCCAAACCACTTCTATTTCGTCCCCATTAGCACTTTCTGCTTCTCGCTGGGACCTGCCGAGCAGGAGCTGCCAGCTGAGACAGGGACTAATAGAGCCAGTGCTCTCCGCTGACGACCCGAAGCGGCAAACCCGGCTAACACCTCTCTGGGGACAGGACTTACAGCAGAGAGGCACAGCGATGTGATTCTGCTCCGGCTGGGGGCACGGCTGTAACAACACCGGGCTTGAATTTCACATTTCACATTTCTGGAAACTTTTTTTTTTTTTAAACCTTTTGTGGTAACAGACTTCAGATATATCCTATAAAATGTATTTCCCTTAGGACAAAGCAGCAGTAAGAAGACAAAAATAAACAGGAACGAATCTGCCACCTTCCTTCTGCTGTGCGTAGAAGTGCTCTTTCCTAACTCCCCACACTGACGGCTTCATGCCCTCCCGAGCCACGCGAACCCTTCCAGCTCCCTGCAGCGCTCCAGCCATTCCCAACACACTTCAACTCGCAAAAAGGAAGCTCATTTCATCACATAATTCCCCACGGTATCTTTCTGTCGGATAGAGGGACTTGCAGGAAGATCCCGTGGTGACTAAGTGCCTGTGATAGGAGCGATACCTACTGCGGAGCCAGCATCAGTGGCTGGAGGGCCCCAAGCTGCTGCTTTATGAAAGGAAATGGTTTAAACACAGCTTTTTGGCCTGCCTCACCCAGCCCTTTTCTTCCTTCCCTC